ACCAACCCAAACACGCTCCCCAAACCATCATGCTGAAACCACCATGCTTCACAGTTGGCTGCAATCTGTTGAGCCAAAACTCTTGGTGAAGCATTCTCCAGACCCATAACCTTCCACTGTCCGAAAATTGAGTGAATCTTGATTTGTCTGAGAACAGTACGGTCTTCCAAAAGTCCAGAGGCTTGGTCATCATATCACTTGCCCACTTCTTTCGTCTGACTATGTTGGCAGGTCTTAATAATGGCTTAATAACCCAATCTGTGGAGAATCCGTTGAACAGATTTCGGGCTCATCTTACCAACTTTGGTCACTTCTGCAGTCGATAATCTGGGATCCATTTCGATGCTCGTCTTGACAGCCCTTTTTGTCCTCTCCGATGGACCAGGACGACCCGGACGCTGCTCATTTGTTTCCTTGCCATGTTTCCTGAACTGCACAATGATTCTGTTGACTGTCAAAAGCAGGATTCCCAAATTCTGCGAAATTTTCTGCTGACTTATTCCACCATCTGCTTGACCAACTATCCTTCCTCTAACAAAATCTGACAATCGAAAGAGAACCTTGAGTTCTAGGCATGTTGTAGCACAAGATAATTAGTGTGCGGACCATTTTCATTTATATAGTGCTCTGTGAACACAAATTAGTTAGCATAAATCAGTTAAATGATGAAACATTAGGTATCTATTTACTTGTGACCACTCAGTGTAGATAACCTCACTTCTGAAGAGCAAGTACAGTTCATTTTCTAATTATCTGAAATATTTATAGGCATGTTTTACTTTGTATCAGTTGATTTCATTTCTCCGGAATGAAATTATCAAATTATTAAGTTTTAAAATTTGTGCTCTTTAGCTTTTTCAAATGCATGTTATTTATTTCCAATTGCACCCTGAAAAGTGTTTATAAAAACTAGTGTATAGAGTAGACAATGCTCTCAGTCTACTGAGTATAAACTTCGTTAGCCACTAAAAGGTAGCAGAAGTATTAGTTAATCTGAAAACAGTGATTAGATTGTATTATTTATATAGTTTACTCCTGGTACTAAAAGCTATCTTATGCTATCCAGATTCATCCAGTTTCAACAACTAGTGCATGAGCAAAACTGTTGTGCTCTGACTTAGACATTCAAGAAGTCATTAAAACTGGGGAAAGGAAAAGCAACTATATAGATGATCTTAGAATGAAAAATGATTGGCCAACTTGGTTTCTGATTGTTCAGGATTTCAACTTTAACAATACCAGTTAAAGCTATAATCTACTCCAAAAGTAGTTTTTAGACACCCAGTGTAAAACTATTGTTACACTGGTTCATGCTTACATTGCCTGTGGAATGTCTCCCAAGCACCTGTGAATGTAATGGTTGAGTAGGATTCATATTGAACCACACATTTGACCAGCATATTTATGCTCCCTGAGTCACTGCCTAGCAACAATCACAATTAACATGGCTACAATTCTTATGCATGCAAGTCTTTTGAAATTGTATGGTTGATATGGAAACAAAGGCCAAATCTAATGAAGAAAGAAGGAAGTGAAACTGCAATATGGTTTCTGAAACAACTAATCAAAGTCACATCAGCACAATGCAAGAACTGTCTTCTAGCTTCTGTCCATAACATTCCATTAGCACAAGCAACTTACTTCCATATGTTTTCTTCTTGATACAAGCAAAATATAACTGGAAGCAACTATAAAATAACACTACACCGATGCTACTTAATGCCTTAAGCCATATGATCACATTTCACATTAGTGTATGTTCTAACATAACTTGTGCTAAAAGAGAAATGTTAAGAAATATTCAGTAAAACTGCATGGTTGAACATATTAATGAAACCAATAAAACATTTAGTAAATGAAGTTTTTCTTCATATTATGTGTAAGTTACTCTTCAGATAATTCCACTAGCTGCTGAATATTTAAATTTGATTTCACTGAATACATTCTTCAGTAATGTTACTAAAAACAATTAATAACACTGCACTGCACTTTCTTAATATAGTGTATTGTTTGTTTGTTTTAGAGCAAAGCCACATTGGGCTATCTGCTGAGTCCACCACAGTGAAACAAACCCCAGATTTTAGCATTGTAAGTCCATAAACTTACCATTGTCCCACTGGGTGATAGTGTAGTGCAAGTCCTAGTTAATTTTACCTTTCCACTAAACAATCCACTATCTTGCAAGTCAGACCAGCATCAATGACCATATCAGGTGCAATGTGTTGGATGAAATTCATTTGTTGCCTGATAGCTATGTTCTTTGTGTTTATGATTCATGTATGTGATGTACGAGTATTTTAAATTTCTAAGAATCATGCATCAATACACACTTAAGACTGGTGTAGGTTGAATAAACTCTTCAACAGTAAAATGCATTCACTTTCTTAGATAGCCACAAGCAACAACTGAACTATTATTACGATATCATTTTACCATCTGAGTCCATTCACCCACTACAGTTACATCACAGAAACATACCTGTCAACACTGAGAGGTGCCAAATCAGGAGACTTTTTGTGGGGGCATGCTCCATCAGAAAATTTAGAAAAAAAAGGTGCACTCTTATGCATTCTGGGGAACTTCAGACATTTATTTACACTTACAAGATTGAAATAATATTTTACCAGTCATCTGCTATTATTGTTATACCCTTATTCTAAGAATTGAAAAATAAAAAAATTAACATATCCTAATTAGTGTTATTTTTTATATTTGTATGTTGCATGGCATCTTTCAATACCTGCTTGCTGGGCTTGTATTTACTGGCCGAGAAATCTGAGTTAAATTTATAGTTTAAAAGGAAATATACTGTGTCATGCCCTAAATCAGTCCTGTTGTCTAAATGCCCTTTCACTTGATGCATTGGAATGTTGTACAACAAGCAGACAGTATAACACAACAAAGTATAACAATGTCACACAAAATAAGTAAATATTTACTTTATCCTGGTTGGCACTCTGTGAAGTTGAATTTTGTGACTCTTTTTCTTTCCTTTTTTTTTTTTTTTTTTGTTAAATTATTAAAAAGGTTGATATCGGGAGATCCTGGTTGTGTGTTGGGAGATTGGGAAACGGGACTCCATATCGGAATACTCCTGCCAAAATTGGGAAAGTTTACAAGCCTGCAGAAAAATGAATGTAAATAAAATCCAGTGAAACAAGTACTTTTCCACTGAGATTTTAACACAGCCTAATTCACATTCTGTTCTGATTAAGATCTCAACTCCATCACATA